AAGGCTGAATGGAAGCGTCTCTGAAAAAAGCTTCTCTTAAATCGATTTTTTTCCTTTTAATTCTGTATTTGGATCACTGCCTTTACTTTTCTCTGGATAGCATGTCACCCTGGGAAATATGTGGCCTCTTCAACATTACTCACACTACTTGGGGGTAGTCCTGTATATTAACCTTGCTATTTCTCCTCATTTTTTTCAAGTAGCCTGTGATTCTCTGGCTGATACTGTGTTCAACACTGTATGGACCTTGGGGTGCCGACCCTTTATGAACAGCCAACGGGCAGCCTGCATCTGTGCGGAGGAGGAGAAAGAAGAGTTATGAGGAGGAGGTGACGCCTTTCTGGTTTTCAGTGACACCACAGCTGCCATCTCAGAGGTGGTAGGATGGAAGATGTAGCTCATCCTTTCTTCCAAAAGTCTTGGATACCACAAAGCAGGAGAAAGGAAACATTATTCTACAGCTGAAAAGTAAGCCTTGTCCTTTGAGGAGAATTGGAAAAAAAGACATGGAGTGACTTGAAGGCTACTCTTTGCTTTAACACTGGTGACCCCAACCAAGACATATTTGCCTGGAAATTCAATTCTTAGTTTAAAGACTAAAATAAAGACTAAAATACTGGGATTCCTGGAAATGATAATTATATTCATAAGTGAAATTTTGGAGAATCCAACTATTTGGGAGGCAGTGACTTTCCTCTGATCCATGTTTCAGTTGCCAGTAAGCACCTCACATTTAATAAAGTGTACTTTTTAGAAAATTTGAAAAGAGATGAATGAATTCCATTATCACCAATATGCTAACATTTCACTTAGAAGAGACAGAACCCAGCCTGGTAAGTTCCACCAATGATAACAATTATTTCTTCTGGTCCTGAAGAGATAAGACCCGGTGGGCAAAGTTAGAGGCTTACCTGACTAGAGCCAATGGAGGTGAAGGCCAGATGGAGTTAGGTCTCTGCAGTTTCATTTTTTCCTTCATTGAACTTGCCCTGTTGATATTCCTGATTACTAAGTGGTGTCAGGGTCAGGTTAAGACCTGAGAAACGCTTGGTAAAAACTGCCACTGAGAACAGCAAGGAAAAGTCCCTGAAATCTGCAGAGCGTGAGAGACAGATAGCCATTCCCTGCGTGGTGGTTCTCAGCCCTGATCGTCGATAAGAATCACCTGTGGAGCATTAAAAAAAACCCAAAGAATCTCGGGGGGTGGTACCTACATATGGGTATTTTTTAAAACACTCCCCAATGATTCTGATGCACTGTGAGGCCTTGTGGGCCACTAAGGTCAGGGACTGACAAATGAAGGCCCATGGGCCAAATCAGGCCTAGCACCTGTTTTTAAGTTTTACTGGAATGCAGCCAGGCTCACATTTGTTTATTGTGGCTCCAGTGCTGCGTAGCTGTGACAGAGACTGGTAAATAGTTTAAGCCCAGGAAGACTAAGCTATTTACCATTTGGCCCTTGACAGAAAAAGTCTGCCAACCTCTGATCTAGATCATTTATTTTCTCCTTTACCTTCCTTCTGTTAATTTCACTGGTTCCATTACGAATTGTTCATTGTCACCCTTTCTAGAAAGAAAAAGAAGAGAAACTGTTTTCTGATCTTATGTAAAGCCATAAAATAAATTGGCATATTAAGAAATTGGAGTTAACGGCGGATAATGTTCATCTCTGTGGTTTAGGATATTTATTTCAATAAAATTTATTAAGCACCTACAAAATAGAGGATGGTATAATTTTATACCCTTTTCTATTGTCTTATCAATCTGAGGGCACAGAATGCCAAACAGCAGGGCATGTAGTACCACATTTTCATTTTGTCTACAGTTCAGCCATTGAAACACTTAAATGCACGTTAATAAATTTAATAACATTTATTAATTGAAAATAGTTCACTTAATATAAAAACCCCAGAAGAAAATACTGCGCAAGAGAAAAACCAAATAGTACACACTTATATTGATAAACTTCCAAATCCCCTATGACTATTCTGTATTTGAACGGAAATTTCAGGGTATAATGATTGTTTACATATTTAAGGAGTTGGAGGGTATTTAAGTCATAATTTCAAGCAACTGTTTAATTTTTTTAAGTTCCTAATTTGAAATATTATACCCAACTTCTGATTTTAGTGCATCCTATACTAGGTGTTTTATTGCAGGGAAGAAATCGGGGGGCTATGGGCGAGCTGCTTTCTGGGTGCACAGCACAGCTTTTGAGGATGAAAGCCCCATCCGGACAGGTCACTCAGCAGTGACCTTTACCATCCCAGTGGGCCGGAGTCAGAGTTGGTTCTGGGAGTTTGTCTAAACCCACAGTATGAGGTTTAAAGCAGCGCAATGTTCTAGGGTGTCAACCGATGTTCTCAGAGGGCATGGAGAGAAATCCAAAGAGATGGGCAGCCCAAAGCAGGACTCCGGTGTTGGGTGGTCCTAGTCCTCCCAGTCGATGCTGATGGGGCCACCTGTCAGTGTTTGGCTCTGTAAACCTGCGGCATCCTCTCCTACTGCCTCACGACGCACTCGCCGGTGGCAGCCCTGGGCACAGCGGGAACGCTCGTCCAGCATCCCGCAGACAAGGACCCGGCAGTGCAGGAACACTTCCTGGAAAGAGCATAATGATAACGGGCAAAAATGGTGCTAACAGCTGCCACATGTGGGGCATTTCCGAGAAGCCAGACATTGTACCCAACACTTCACAAGCATTATCTCATTTCATCTAGACAACCATCCTTCGAGGTAGATGTTACCATCTTCATTCCGCAGATGAGAAAAGTGAGACTTAGAGAGGTTAAGGAACTTGCCCCAATTCACGCATTTAGTAACGTGGCAAACACACTGAATCACAGGGGCGATTTAAAACCCTACGTCCATAACCACTGCCTTTGCATGGGGGCAGGAGAGACCTTTGTGAAGACAACATCTAGTAATGTTAATATCTTTGTTCTGCACAGCAAGGTTTGGGCATGATGTGGGCTCCCATGCACTTCTGTGGAAAATAACACGTTCTTTTGCCTAGTTGAGGATGGAGATCATGGTTAGCCATCATGGTTAGCAGCTGTTCTAGAACAGTGATGTAGCTGGACAGGACATGAAAGTGTGGAAAAGATTGTTGGTTTCTTATGCTTCCTTTTGTTAAGTGGTTCAACAAGGCTACTAAGGCAAAAAAATTTCCACTGTAACATACTACATGTAGCCTCTTACAGCCTCTATCCATGTATATCTATTAAAAATGTATCATATTCAACTTTTATGGCAGTAGTTTTTTCATCTCTCCTTTTTCTATATTTCATTCTATATGAACTCCTTAATACTGCATTAATTGCTATACTGTTTGCACCTCTCTCATAACACGGTCAACAAAGCTTGTTTTTCTTTTGTTCGTTTTTGAGAAGCTGTCAGAATTGGAATTTTTAGATAAAAGACTATAATGATTTTATGGTTATTATGTATTGTTAGACAACGTTCCAGAAAGTGTACCAATTTATCTGCCACTATATACTTCTCTTTAGAGCCTTGCAAGTATTGGGATTCACAGTTTTGCACATCTGATACATATAAAATAGTCTTATAATTGTTTTAATTGGCATCTTAGACTATTTTCACTGACCATTTCACTGTTTGTCTTTTCTGTGAATTCTCTTTCCATATCCTTTGCCACATGACCACTACACAGGTTTTTTCAACCTCATCTGCTCACAAGGATTTTACATTATAATAAATAAAATCATATATTTTACATATAATCACTTTCTTTGAACAAATACAGTTTTTTTTTTGGCAGGGGGGCAAATAACTGCGACATTCATGAAGGTGTTAAGCTTCCAGATGGCAGTTTTATAGTATTTTTCATAGAGGTGATGCAGATCTTAACTGTGGGCTCGTAGAATGTCAACAAATTGCGACACCAAGAAGGAAGGCTCAGGTTGATGGGGGGCTGGGGAGGGGAGGGATTCCAAGGTAAAAGTGTTCAGCTCACCTTGTGGTCTTTGCCCACAAACTTGAAGACGGGGACCTGGAAGTGCTTTGCTAGGTGATCTCGTGATGTGTACTGCTTTACTGAGTCATCTGAAACACAGCTGGAAGTGGGACAGGATAGTACGTAAGACTTGATTGTTTAAACAGAGGTGGAAAAACAATCCAGTCCAACATGTCAGTCCAAGGAGAGGCAATCTGGGTGGAGGAGACTGAGTTGCACTCAAGATTTTTGAGAATGAAGGAAAAATGAAATTCCCTCTCTGTGAAGGCATCCTCAGACATAGCCCTGCTCATTAACGCTGTCTGTCCCATCTCTCATTGGCTGTACCCACAAACTGGGCTCAAGGACCTCCTGTTAAGGCAATGTATTGAAGTGTTAGCAACAGTGAAAACATTTGTTTCAAAGATATCTTTTGAAATAAAGGTATCTTTGTAAGGCTGTATTTTCATTTGTAATAATATTACAGGAATTCTACATTCCTATACCTTATTATTGATTTGAGAAGGCTTTCCTTTAAATAGATTTCATAGTATTTATCAGACACCTAATAGGCATTCGGCCCTGAAGAAGCTCCAAAGGTGAGCAAGTCCCAGTTTGTACATCAAAGATCTGTTTCTTAGAGAATAACTGGATCTATTGGGAAAAAGTCATGTCCTCCAAAAATGTTTTAATTCCTCGTTCCTCAAATTTAATGCTACATTGTAGTTTGATAGGGCTTTGGGGTTTTAATCTCAGGTCTATTGCTTAAAGTGAACTTCCTAGGTTCACCTCAGGGTTAGCTGGGGGAAAGAACTGTTACGGATTCTCCATTCTGAGGCCACGGTTTAGTATTGATGAACCATTTCTGCTAAAGGTCAGGGCTCACCCATGTATTATTGTTTCCATTTTGAATTCTAAAGGAACTTTTTTCCCTGACTGTATTTCTTTATTATGGATAACCTAACAGTTTCTGTCTACCAGGCCAGTAAAAAAATGGGGATCAGATATAAAAGCCTATAAAACTGGATACTTGCTCCACATGCTTACAGACCACTTTCTAGTTCATTGCTAATTGCTGTTTCAGTGCAGTTGAAAAAGCAAATAATATTATTTAAAAATAAGCCATCTTGACTTGTATTTCCACTGGTACATTTTTCCCTGAACTGAAGAGGATATCAACATGTAGCACTGTTTCTGTTATGTCTTGTATTTATGTACACATTTTCATTTTCCTGAGGTTAAATGAGTGTATACCATCTTCTGTGTATGTTCTCTGATAAATACCCACTGCACATCTAATCTGGGTGACACACTCTGTTGGGTGCAGCAGAGATGATAGAGGTGAACAGTCTGTGACGTCAAGTTTACAGTCCAGTATCTATGATAACAATTGTAACACGATATTAAATGAACCCTTTTCATCTAAGTGCCTCAGCATTTTCAACTCCTCTAAAAATACAATTTTCTTTTTTTCAAGAGAAAATGTGGCAGAAAGAGTTGTTGCAGGGTAACACATTACAAAGTAGAATCCAAGACAAATTCTGGCTCTTGATTTGGTGTTTGCTGCAAGTAGACAATGCTAGTTTGTCAACTCCACATTCATGGGCTAACAATGCATTTCTCAAATAATTACCGATGTTGAGCACTTTTCATGTATCTGTTGGCCATCTGTATGTCTTCTTTGGAGAAATGTCTATTTAGATCTTCTGCTCATTTTTTGATTGGGTTGTTTGTGTTTTTGATATTGAGCTGTGTGAGCTGCTTGTATATTTTCTAAATTAATCCCTTGTCAGTTGTATTGTTTGCAGATATATTCTCCCATTCTATAGGTTGTCTTTTTGTTTTGTTTATGGTTTTCTTTGTTGTGTAAAAGCTTTTAGGTTTAATTAGATCTCATTTGTTTATTTTTTGTTCTTATTTCCATTACTCTAGGAGATGGATCCAAAAAAATATTGCTGTGATTTATGTCAAAGAGTGTTCTGACTATGTTTTCCTCTAGGAGTTTTATAGTATCCGCTCTTACATTTAGGTCTTTAATCCATTTTGAGTTTATTTTTGTATGCGGTGTTAGAGAATAAGGTATCACCTCACACTGGTCAGAATGGCCATTCTCAAAAAGTCTACAAATAACAAATGCTGGAGAGGGTGTGGAAAAAAAGGAATCCTCCTGTATTGTTGATGGGAATGTAGTTTGGTGCAGCTACCATGGAGAACAGTAAGGAGGTTCCTTAAAAAACTAAAAATAGAGATACCATATGATCCAGCAATCCCACTCTTGGGAATTTATCTAGAGAAAATCCTAATTCGAAAAGATACATGCACCCCAATGTTCATAGCAGCACTTTTTATAATAGCCAAGACATGGAAGCAACCTAAACATCCATCAACAGACGACTGGATAGAGAAGTTGTGAGAGAGATATATATATACACACACACATTCACACATACACACACACAAAGGAATACTACTCAGTCATGAAAAAGAATAAAATAATGTCAGTAGCAGCAACATGGATGGACCTAGAGATTATCATACTAAGTGAAGTAAATCAATCAGAGAAAGACAAATAGCGTATGATATCACTTATATGTGAAATCTAAAAAAAAAAGAAAACCCAACACAAACCGACTTATTTACAAAATTCAAGGAGACTCACACAGGCATAGAAAACAAACTTATGGTTACAGTGCAGGGGGACGTGGGGCAGGAAAGGGGGAAGGAGGGATAAATTGGGAGTTTGGGATTAGCAGATACAAACTACTATGTACAGAATAGATAAACAACAAGGTCCTACTGTATAGTACAGGGAACTATATTCAATGGCTTGTAGTAATCTGTAATAAACAAGAATATAAAAAAGAAGATGTGTATATATATATGTATAACTGAATCACTATGCTATACATCGGAAACTAATACAACATTGTAAATCAACTATATTCCAATTTAAAAAATGGGGAAAGAAAAAATTAATCAAAAAATTAAAGTAACAATGGTACAGGATAATTCAAAATAACTTATTACCCAAAGTTGTCCACTGTTGGATTTTGGAATGTAATGTGCTTCTTTTTGTAGATATAAACTTTCTAACTCTATCTTATTAGGTTTTCATTAAATTATTTTTATTCTCAGAGCATATGCTGACTAAAACTAGAGGGAGGTGAATCAGATATGTTAAATGTCAGGGGAAGCCAATCTGATTTAAGTTTAAGTTGAGGACAATGAATAATCAAACAATTTATAAATATAAGTAAACTGTTTTACTATTTAGACTAGTATTTTACTAGTATAAATATACTAGTATTACTATAGTAAAATATTAGTATATAGTATTTTACTAGTTATACTATTTTAGGGCTCTGAGCTAGCTCCAAATTAGTATTATGGTAACTATTCATTTGACAGCTATTTAATGACCTTTACTGTAGGCTAGGCATTGACGAGGAAGAAGGAAGGAAGGTTTCTAGTTCAGGTCAGAAGGAATCAGGGAAGGGTTTGTGGAGGAAATAAACCCCACTGAATCTTGAAGGACCAGTAAGAATCAGACAGGAGGAAAAGGAGAAGATTTCGGGCAGTGGAAACAGTAGGTGCAGAGTCAGGAGGGGGTAGGGAACAACAGGATTTGGGGATTGCCCATAGTTCCCTCTGGCAGGAGCAGAAACTGGAGAAGGTAGAGGTCAGAGGGTGAGGTACAGTGAGCCAAGCTGAGAGTTAGATTCTATCTAGAGGGATTATCTCAAATGCACTATTATTGTACTAGCCAATACTGTACTAGCCAATATTGCATGAGAGATGGGACTATTTGCCTTGAGTAGTATACACAGGTCTACACAGCTGTGTTTTTAAGTTCTGCCTATGCTTTCAGCCATTTTAATATCTTCCATAGCATCTTTCTTTTCTGTTTTGTATGGATAAGGGCTAGAAAATTAAATGGCACAGCTTCTCAGAACTGCTTAAAATAAAAGTATATATAGTCCTGAGGATCTGAATAATGAATATATAAATAAGCTTCACAAGTTTTACTCAGATTGCAGGTTACATGTTTTCCCAGTTAAAGTTGAGATTATACATTTACTTTTGCAAAAAGTAAATATGTGTCCATCAACAGATGACTGGATAATGAAGATGTGGTATATTTATACAATGGAATACTATTCAGCCATAAAAACTGACAACATAACACCATTTACAGCAACATGGATGTTCCTGGAGAATGTCATTCTAAGTGAAGTAAGCCATAAAGAGAAAGAAAAATACCATATGAGATCACTCACATGTGGACTCTAAAAAACAAACATAAATACAAAACAGAAACAGACTCATAGACATAGAATACAAACTTGTGGTTGCCAGG